ATAGTAACTTATGTAGTCTAAAAGTAAAAATGTCACCATTACCCAGTTAGCACAAGCTTTTTATCTGAACTCTGAAGAACATCAGCGATGATATTAAAAATGCCTTCATTGATAAAGTCCCTAGAATAATCGAAAAATGGACGCTTCAGCCATAAGATACAAAAAAAAGTTTAATTGTATAAATGATATTTATGGAGAAATGTTTAGCTTTCAGAATAAAAATACAGCAAGAAAACAATACTCATATGAGACTAACTCGTAGAAAACAATACCTAAATAGTCGATGCAGCTGCACCATTTGCAGGTTCTTGCTTAAATTACAAAATTCGTGCAGGAAATTTACCTATGGAAAGAATAAGCTGAAGGATTAATTTAGACACAAATCAAAAGAATAAACCACATTCCAAACCCGGGAGAACAGCCACAAGCAACAAATATTCAAATCCAAAATGAAAAAAAAAACAATGAAACTTCACCCCCATGTCAACAATTACCAATTTTTTCTTTGATTCAGTAGATGTGGTGGGTGATCTCAATCTTGCAAACAATTCCTGAATAAAGGTGCTATCATCCTTCAGTATAGAAATAACCTACAATGCAACACCACAATTAGTGCAAATGAAAAAAAGGCAAATATTAAAAAAAAAAACAGGCACTAAACCTTACAATAGCATTGTTTGAATGAATTATAGAATTGAGACTGGCAGCTGTGGCCTCATCTAATATCCTTGCCAAAACAACATCCTGAAAGAACCAATCAAAAGCAAGAGCTACATGATCAAAAACAAGAGAAAGATTCATAAATCAAGTATCCAACATGCATACCTTCAAATAACCAATTCTGTATGTCTGGTGTATCTTTGAAAGGGCGAGGGGATTTTTAATTGGAATGGCCTGTAAAAACAAATATCATAAAATGAAGTCTTTTTTAATGCTCCTTCATTTTCTTCCTAATCTAAATTTCTTCTAAGTTGAAACCTCCATCATATGCACTAGGACCCGTTTAAGAATACATTACCACTTTAAAAACAACATGTTCTTTTAGAAAAACCCGATAGTGTTGCACTTGAGGGACATCAGGGTCATCTAGAAACAAAGAAGAAAGTTTCTAAGTCTTCACCAGAACATGATACAAACCAACAAGTAAATAGTCTATTCTGGTGCACGTAGACAAAGAACATCATATGAAGAATAAGCAGAAAATCCAGAAGGTAACAAAGTAAAGCATCAGACACTAAATGGCAAACCAACATCCAACTCAGAAAAATAATCAATTTTGAAGCAACAGGTAAACAACACAAGCTTTAAAAACCTTCAAACTGATGAACAGTGAGAGAGAGAGAGATCCACCTAAATATTCTTGTAAAAAATTACAGGTATTATCAACCACTTGCAAAAGCTGACATGTATTCCTCAATAACAACCATAAAAAATCCATCATCAAAACTTGCCACAACAGTACGAGTATCTTAGCAGTTCCGTGCAAGTTTTAGAATATTAAACTAGTATGTAGACGCTAATACTCTAGTTTCAGAAATAGGTCACAATTTATAATCTGAGTTAAAGAATAGCAACACAAAGAACCACACACTTGAAAAGAGAAAGCAAAGGAACATGAAACATAGGAACTCTCAAAAAGTCCCACTATAAGAATGTTTTTTTTTTTTGAAAGGGATGATATAAGAAAGTTATTTGCATTAAAAAAAACCATTATGCTGATAATACAAGTTTGCAAAAAAGACAATGAATTCAATCAAACAGTAGTCACCAATAATAAATCCATGTACGAACAGTATATAACTTACATTCAAGGGAACCAATAATATCCATGATTAATTCATCCCCAAATATTTTCTCGAAAATTTGAGGACTATTGAGCAAAACTGTAAAACAGCCAACAACATAAATCACATAACCATGAATGACTTGTAAAATATAAGCAATTATAACAAAGAAATAAGAACATTCAGATTCGAAGAACTAACTTATCCCCTTAATTATTTTGAATATCATGTGAAGACCATCCATGTTTTCCAAGTCCTCACAGATTCTGAATAGCTCCATCAGCTTCTGGAAGAAATCTTGCTGCATACTCAATTAAGCAGGTCTAAAAATATTAATAAACTAGCGTGGATGGGCAATCAGAACAAGGAAATTAAACTATAAAGTTAAAACAGAAACAATAAGAAAACCAGAACGCAAAATAACTGAAGATGAAGACATGGCAATTAACATTATAGGAAAAAATATAAAAGGACAAGAAATCAAGCTCGGAGTTACATTTTGGAGAAAAATATTTAATCTCTCTCCATATGAAATAGAAGATCGACAAGAGTACACAATTTAAGAAAGTTGAGAAACCGGTGGAAAACAAAATTACTTGGTTCATAAGAGAGCAACATCCGATAATATAACAGAAACACCAGCGTTAAGATAGATATATGATCTCCTATCAAAAAAAAAAAGATAGATATATGATCTGCAATAAATTACAGAACAAAACACTATACAATACCTATATAGAGAACAAATCAACAAACAGAAAATGTAAGCAATAACGAAGTTTAAAAGAATACATCATTTAATATAAGCTCAGTCAGCCGTATCTGATCAGCAAGGCCACTCTCAGTCACAGTCTGCAGGATAAAAAGATCACCTTAATGAATAATCATATAAAGGCTTTGTCAAGGAAGGTTATATCTGAAAAGCTTTCCAAGAAAAATCAACCATTTTATGCACAAAGTATAGGAAATCTAAATAATATTGTCCTGAAGGAAAAGAAAATAGTAAACTTACTCTATATTAGAAATAATTATTACGTAAGGTAGAATACAAATGATAAAAAAAAACTAAACATAATGCAATCAAGAGAACCCGATAATTCATTATAACCTTGAGGATTATGGGAAGAGTAGAAAGCTCCACAGCTGGCAAGTCCCTCAACTCGCTATTCATTGTGTGAAATATCTCATCTGCAGTAATCATAAATGAGAAACATTATCCATGATCATATTCCAAAATTCCTCAAATGAAAAATTTAATAAGAATAATATAAAATGTCACATGGATGTCTGAAAAAAAAACCTTTTTGTCTATCAGAGGTAGAACACGCTAGCAACTCAATAAATAAAGGACATTTAATTGACATCTTCCTACTTCTAAGTAAGAAGCCAAATAAATTATTAGATGAACCAAAATACCTGCTAATAACTTTAAACTTGGGTTTTTCCCGGAATTTGAAGTCTTTTGGGGACAAAAATCAGCGAGAAAGTTAAACCGTTTAGAGGGATACAATGTTGACTAAATTATGGAGTAAGAAGTAATGAATAACTTCAATCAGATTAAAAGTACTTACTGTTAAGAGAACTGAAATGCATATTTCTTTGTGCATTACAAATGTGGTCCCTGCAATAGAATGGCAAACACTCAACAAGGAATAAACCAAAAAAACGTGAAACAATCCATAAACAATTAAAAATTACTTACCATACGTAAGAGCATCCTGTGTTCTCTTGAAAACTAAGTGCCAATTCTGTAGAAAATTCTGAGTCCCTCCATGATATAATTGTATCTGAAGATAAATGCATATATAATTCAACCAAACTGAAATATTAAAAATGGCAATGATCCAGTTAAGAGCAGCATATTTTCTATTATCAAAGCCAGAAAAATACCCTCTTGCTTTCTGTAAATGTCATCAGGTCTGATGCGGTGTAAAAGCAAAGTCGCATTGTCTTCTTCATCAAAAACAAATAAAGCAGGCTCTTCTGATCTCTGAATTATAGCATATCCATTCATTTAAAAGCAATAAGACATTTTCATCTAAATAAAATATTTTCAAAAATAAATCCAGTATATCAGACGGGAAAAAGGAGCTACAGAAACAACTAAAGATTTGAACCAAACCTCCAAATAATCAACAGTGACATGCCCAGTTCCTTGGTCATCCCATTTACCATCCTCACTCAAACGATAGACCTTTACTCGCTGAATTCATACATAAACATGGGCAGAAAATGATTTTCGTCAGGTCCACTCAATGACAATATCATTAAAATAATGCAGTCACATTAACATGAAGTATGACCTTGAGCATCTATTCGTTCGTTGTCAAACTGGCAACAAATAATAACCTTTATGATCCCTGTCTTAAGAAAAATTCCTAGGTAATTATTTTCCTATGATAACATTTGGCCATCTGTATGATTCTGCTCCAGCACATGATGTTTCCATCAATGATGCAACTGTGTTTTGCATTTTAGATCTGGTAACTCATCTATGGAACAACACCCTTACCATAATTCAGAAATTTCTAGCAACAGCAACTAAGATCTTACTTCCAATACCTCTTGGGAATATGTGCAGGGTATATAAACAAAAAACTATTTGAGGTAAAATACTTATCCATTGATTGATGAATAAATCACACCCTTGTCAACATTCTGTATATATATATATATAATACACGGGAAACACAAAAAACTACAATGAAAAAGCACAGAAATGCGAACTTAAAACCAAATTCTCTAATTGCCCGAGAACAGAATTGGTTGGTATCCCACTTAAAGCCAATTTCTCTTCACCACACACTTCAAAGTCCAATCATATTTAACTAATAACAACGCCGAACAAGAGCATAAAGAAAATAAAACGAAAGGCACCTCTATCTACGAAGCCAAAAATAAAGTTAAACTAATTGAAAGAAAGCAACTTCACTTACTATGCAAATTAATACCTAACTTATCTCTGGAAGTGAACTAACGAAAAAAGACCGATCCTATGGCTCCAAACAAAGCTCGCATAAAACAGTGAGAGATTGAGCTGACCTGCATCGAATTGGAGTTCCCTTGAGATTTCTCTGGAGCGCCCATCGCAGCTTCTCTCGCTCTCCGATCACAACAAACTTTTCGAATTCCAAAAAGTCACGAGGAGTCGTATAAATTTAATTTTTAAAAAAAAGTTGAAATTGAGAGATTGGGGGCAACCTTGAATTAGGGTTTTTGGTAAACGAGAAGAGAGAGAAGAGCGCGGGCTCTTGTAAAATTAGGCGGGAAAGATTAAGGTTACTTGTTGAAAGGGGGATCAATAGAAAACCCTAAACCGCCATTAACGAAGCTGGAGCAAACACCTTCGTCCCCCTCTCACTCTCAATTTCTTTCGTTCTTTTGTCAATCTTTTGCGCGAATGCCTCTCACTTCCTCCGACCTTCAATAAGTGGAAAAAGAAGACCGAAAAAAATGAAAAATGAAAATTAAATAGAAATAATATAAACTACTGCAACAAATGAGATTCTATTAAGATAGGCTTGACTTTCAAAGAGATTCCCTCCACACGTGGTTTTAGTTTACCCAATCATTAATCGACACGTATAACGCAGCACAAAAGGATTTAATGTTCCAAAATATCTCTTGTGACGTCACCTGTAAAAAACAGTCCAATAAATCAAAATTTCTAGATTTATTAAATAAAATAAAACTTGGGTTGGTTTAATTAGGGATGATGATTGGTATTATGGTACAGCTTTTGAAAAACTCATTTCAATTAAATAAATATATTTTATTTATCTGATCTAAAATAATAATTTGAAAATTAAGTCCTACAATCAAAATTCTAAACTTGGTTAAATGTCAGTATAACATCTGACATAGAAAAAAATTAAATATCTATTATTTTAACTATCATATTAACATGTGTCATGAATATGTTCATAATATACATTTGACAGTTTAAAAAAATTAATTTGATTTTTTTATTAAACGAATGTGATTATAAAGTAGTATTTATTTTTGTTGGAGTTGTTGATATTCGAACCTAAAACCTTTTTAAATAACAATCATTCTTTTAATCACTCAAGTAATTGAATGACTAAGACATGTGTACCAATCAAGCGACCTTAGTATTAAAAAAATTATTATTATTATTATTTTTTGAGGTTTTAAGTTCGACGACGAACCATATCAAAAGTACAAAAGTTCAATATCAAAAGATGAAGAGTCATTCATAAACAAAAAATATATTATATTTACTTTATATTAATAAAAAAAGACGAGACATAGATATGTACGTTGTCATCCCCATTCAACTCGTACTCGTGTAAACATACACTTATTATTAGTTTTTTTTTTTTCAAAAATATATAACAATTTTATATACTTTTACCTGTTTTTTATTTTTACGTTTTTTCAGTAAAGAAACACATTAACAAATATACCTTTATCATAAAGGTGTTATTATTTAAAAAAAAATCTTTTTGAATGTTATAATAGAATTAATTACTAATATTATTCTCATAAAATTATCATAGAGGTCACTAAAATATGTAAAATTAATATTGTTGATTATCAAACTTTTAAATGTTATAAAATTATCATTAAACTTCTTAAATGGTTATAAAATTATGATTAACATTTATCAAATTATTATAAAATGAAATTTAAACTTATCAAAATATCACAAAATAATCCTTAAATTTATTAAATTTGATTTATATTTAATGATACAAGCACTATTTTGTAATCAATTAGGGAATTTAATGACTATTTATAACATTTGAAAGGTTTCTGACTAAAAAGATTATTTTTACATGTTTTAGTGACCTCTAGTACACTTTCCCAACAAATGGTGGTTTACCAGCCTGACTTTGATAACTCCGCCTCCTTACTCCTCTCCCAACGAACTTATAAAAGCAGAACCCATTTCTCATTGTATCTTTATTTTCATCAGATCTCTCTCTCTCCCGCGCTCAAATAAAGCTTTCTCTCTCTTTATATTAATTTCTCACTCCTCCTCCTCCTCCTCCTCCTCCTCCTCCTCCTCCTCCTCCTCGTCGCCAAACAACCGAGAAAATCGAAATGCATTCCATTTGCTCTCAAGCTACTACAATTCCTAGATCAAATTTCTCTCCCGGTTCTCGTTCTCCTGCTTTAGCTATCTCCAAGCCAATCAATCTCCGTTTCTGCGGACTCAGAAAGGAAGCCCTCGGACTCAGAAATCTATATGTACTTCAGACCAAGCCCCAAGGTTACATATAAGTTGTGCTTCTCAACTCTAGGATTAATCTATGCCACCATTTAAGCTGCAAAGCTGAAAGGATCTCTGCCCATTGGGAGATTTCTGTGGTGGACAAAATAACTGTAAACTAGCTTAGACCATAGAAAGTATGCCCATATATGGACATAATATTATCTTCAATCCATCCCATTCATGCATGAATAAATTACCACAAGGACAAAAACCAGTCACTGGATTTGCAATCTGCTGATTATAGTAGTTACAGGCTTTTTTTGTTTTATCCTAATTCCTGAGTTATAGCATAAGTAATACATCCTTAATATTTTTATTCCGAGGAAACAAAGTTCACATAACAGTTTTATTTAGGTCACGTTTATTGAAGCTCTAGATCATCTTATGCCTGGATTTGATCCTGAGATTGGTAAGCTGGCCCAAAGGGTGCTGATCAACCCTAGGAAAATTGACTATCATACAGGAGTGTTTGCAACGAAGGTGATTTATGGTTTAGATTTGTTTTCACTTTGTATGGCTGTATGATAAATTTGTTATTGAATTTCCTTGGTGTTATTTATAGATCACTCCCGCTAAGGATTGGAAACCAGTCACTATTTAGCTTATTGATGCCAAGACTAAGGAGCCCAAAGATACCTTAGAGTTATATGTGTTATATTCCTTTTTTTATGGTGTGTCATGTTATTTTTTATGAAAATTATCTGAATCTGTCATTTTTGGCTAGTAGTTATGCAAGCATTTGTAGACAATGTCAATGTTGATGGCTTATGATGCTTTTCCTGATGTCAAATCGAAATTCTATCGTCTGTATGTAGCTTTCACCTTTTGTGTAGATGCAGCTTTAATTGCAACAGGAAGGGCTCCATTCACCAACGGTCTCGGCTTGGAGAATGTATGTCATCCTGATGAAAACTGTAATACAGAACTCTTAACTAAAAGGAAATAGATTAGAACTAATTTTGTTCCTGTTATTTTTTTCCAGATTAATGTAGTAACACAGGGGTTTCATTCCTGTTGATGAAAGGATGCGGGTAATTGACGCAAATGGCAATCTGGTTAGTAGCAAACTTCATTCTGGCTATATATTTTCTCATATGGCTTTCAACTAACAGTAATCTTATGTTTGAATTTTAGATTCCTCACTTGTACTGCATTGGTGATGTAAACGGTAAAATGATGCTTGCTCATGCAGCAAGCGCACAAGGAATTTCAGGTCAGTGTCAACTAACTTCATTCTTAGCCGATACATAATTGATATTTTTCTTTAGATCGGTCTCTCTTAAAACTATAAAAATCCCGTGGTTGAACAAGTAACTGGAAGAGATCATGTGCTTAATCATCCTAGCATCCCAGCAGCCTGCTTCTCTCACTCCGAAATAAGTATGGTTGGATTAGCAGAGGTGAACATTACAAACACCCTTGCTTTTGATTTATATCAAGTTTAAATTGTTAGATAAAATGTTGTTTGGTGGCCTTTTAATTTTGACAATGCTTTAAATCTGCAGCCTCAAGCAAGGGAGAAAGCCGAGAAGGAAGGATTTGAAGTGAGTGTTGCCAAAACAAGTTTCAAGGCTAACACAAAGGCTCTGGCAGAAAATGAAGGGGAGGGACTTGCTAAGGTTATTTCTCGTCACACTCGTCTAAATCAACAAACATAATAAGGATGTTAGAGAACGAAAATGACTTGTTTTCTGTTGGTCCACGAGGTTCTCTGTCCGTTGTAGAAAAGTCAGTCTCCTGGTTTTTACAAACTCTTCGACAGAATGATAACCAATTGAAACACATACAATCTCTCATATGGTGCTGAACATCATAAAATAAAGTTCTAAGGGGTTTAAATTTCAATGATAAGAGCATGAACCAATGAAGAACCGGTTTCTCAGTGTCCTTTTGTTTTCTTTTAAACATATATGTGTACAGTCGCTTAAGTTTTACCGATGTTATCTCCATTCAGTTGATATACAAACCTGACAACGGTTAGATTCTCGGAGTTCATATATTTGGCTTGCATGCAGCAGACCTTATCCACGAGGCATCAAATGCCATCGCTTTAGGGACACGTATCCAGGTCCTTCTTCGGTGCAGAAAACAAGTCACTTGTAGTCAACTTTTCTTCCCCAAACTCTGTTCATTAACCATATTCGATCATGCAGGACATAAAATTTGCCATTCACGCACATCCAACACTTTCCGAAGTTCTCGATGAACTATTTAAATCTGCCAAAGTGAGTTTCTTATATATATATAGTCCCATTTCCTGTTTTAAGATCATATTTTGATGCTCATGTGAAACTCTCTTTTCCCCTTTTAAACCAGGTTAAAAGTCGCTGCATTGAATCATGCTCCAGTAAGTGAACCGGTCGCGGTCTAAACCCTTATATCGACACTTTATGATTAAAAAAGTAAGAGAAAAAGGAGGTATAATTTTTTTAATAACTTTACTCGTATTAGGGAGTATCAAGAAACATGTTGGAGGAATTTTCATATAAATTGATGATGGTCGTGCCTGAAGCCTTTCACAATTTAGTGCTTCGTTTTCAAAAGCAATGCAGATATAGCTGTGCTCATAATTTGTTTTCCTTTTTCAAAGTTTGTATTCCTTAATCTTCTGAAAATATATTTTTTCTCTTCATTTTAATGGAGTTTTGCACTCTTTTTTAATACTATTTCATTCGAATATAGCCTCGTGCCTCGTCTATCCCCTGAGGGCCGAGAGATTTGTATGTTTAAGAAAAATGGTGGAACAATACCGTTTTCTGCATTCCCTGACCTCGGTTCCTAAGCTTTGAGAGATTCATTTCGGTCATCTGCTCATATATTTGAAAGATACTTAATGATATGCTCTCATAATCCCGGCTTAAAACGCCTTCGTTGATTGTAACGAATCATCTCACGAGAGTGGGGACTCTTCATGAAATCGATCGTCTACTATATGGGCAGTGGAAAACTCCATCTCCAAATGTTAAAGCTTGTACCTGTAATGGCCCTGATAATATATATATATATATATCAGCCAAATTGCTGGAGAAAAATAAAAGGAACCAAAATAGAAGATCAAACTTATCTGTTATTAGAGTAAGAAAAGTAAGTCGCCTATGATGCGCTTATA